ATAATATAATTTTATTATTACAGAGTTCATTCCCTCCTGCCTTACTACATCAACAGAAATCATAGAATTTCAGGTTGGATAAGACCCTTAAGATCACAGAGTCTGACAGTAAACCAAACACTACCAAGTCCACCACTAAACCATGGCCTTCAGTTCAAGGTCACTTTTTTTGTTCAGGCAGGATCTCTCAGGGAAGCATGCAAGGGGGAGTTCTATGTGAAAATGAACATGCAGGGTTACTCTTGACTATAGCAATCAATCCTATAATCCTACAGTAATCAATCCTATTCTAGTGGAGGAGCACAGTAGCATAGCAGCCCCACAAAGTTGCCCAGGTCTTGCCAACATACCTAGCTGAGAAGAGGACTACATCTTAAGCTATAAAATTGGCACCAAAACAACCACCACATTCTAATGCCAGCCTTGATGCTGACCCTCTAACTGTACTGATCAAACCTCTAAGTTTCTTTTGACTCTGCTCTGAGCTGGATGATCATACATGGGCTGACTGGTGTCCTACTGATCCTGAGCTAATAAACCATGTAGGGAAGCAGGGCGAGTGACCACAGATACACAGACAAGCTGACAGAGCAACTAGTTGGCTTGGAGCACAGACAAAATGAGCTCATGTCTGCCTGAAGATGGTGCAGACATTCTTAATTATATTTCAAAAGCACTCTTAAAATAAAAGTGCCAAGTACCATTATTGTCAGGGCATCAGCACTGTAGCAGCGAGGGTTCATCAGAAATGAAGCACAAATACTGCTTGCTCACTGCTGCAAAACAGGTGAACAACAAAACCAGCACTGGGCTGTGTTAAACAGTGTATGAACTCAAGTCAAATATATATTTCTCAACTGAAATTATTCAAAATTTTGTTAAAGATAAAAAAAACCCTAAATTTTAATTTTTTTAAAAAATATTTTCCAGAGAGTTTTGTTTGCTGGTATTTTTTCTGAGCCCTTCATTCAAAGTTACACTTCCCTCAAAAAATGGCCTACCTAGGAATCCACTTATTGCTTATCTCCAAGGTTTGTTCTGTTATGGGTCTTGATTTCTTGATGGAAATATCACATTCAATAATATGCTTCACACAAAATGCAGGCACTGGGTTATCTAGAGACTCGACTGATTGCTATTTAATCAGATGTGGCACTGCCATCCGAACTCCCCCATGACTCTTCCCTTCCATGTTGCCAATTTAATGAACTGATTTCAGCTCACACCTTTCCTTTCAAACTCCTTGCTTGTCTGGATCTGCCAACCAGTCAAACAAATAACAAAACACAAGGGCATAGATTCCTACCACAGTCGGATGCCACATAATGAAGCTGTGCAGCACCTGCACCAGGGACAAGACAGCTTCACAGGGGTCTGCCCTAATTCAACAGGCTTTGGAGCAGCAGCTATCTTTTTATTAAGCTGTACTGTATTTGTCAATCTGTCTTCATTTCTCTTAACAGTTAAAGCTATTGTTTATAACATGACAAGACTTACCTTCCCACTATTAATTTAATAGTATTTGTGCAGACACCATTCAGAGCTAGAGCCAAGGAAACAGCTACAAAACAGAATGAACAAACAGAATAATAACCTAAGTACCAAGCCAGAAAATTGCAGCATTATAGCATATGATTTACAGACTGAAACCTTTTCTGGATTGGCAACTGAATGTCTTTGCAGCCTACTGTATTTATTACCCAGACTAAAGGACAGACCCCAGAGTATCGTAATAATCACATAACTTTATTCTGCTTTTACTCTTGAGAAATCTTATTTCCTTATGCAAATCCAGTTTTCAAATCATGCCATTTGCACAGGCAGAAATCAGCAGTTGGAAACAATTATTAGAGACCCAAGTACCCTGTTTAGCAGTTCTGCAATTTACTAGAGTGAAATCTTACATTTTCAGGATCATGTAAGATACATACACACATGTGGCTCTCTATGTTTATACACATGTGCATATGTTGCAAATAAACAGTCCATTTTCAGGCTAAAGAATTGCCTTTTGGCTAAAACTAGAATTGGATTTTTTCTTATTTTTCTTTCAAAAGGATGTGGATGTTTTGATTACAAATCTTGGCATTTTCCATTTACATTTACTCCAATATTTAACTAATTATCCTAATGAAATTACACTAACAAACAGGAGCTGTCATGCTAGGTATGATAGAATCATCTTTTTTATTTGTACTTGCACACCACATCCCTAGACTTTTCAAAGAACCTCATCCAAAGCCTGTGGAGATCTCTGACTTAATTTCAGTGGCACTTGGATTCAGTGCAGACACTCCTTTTAGATTAAAACTGATTTAATGTTGCAGTCCACACCATAACTCTCAGTTGCAACACCAGAGTCACTGAATTTTATTTCCCATTAGGAAAAAAAAAAGGTCAGGCTCTCTGATTTCCAGCAGAACAGTTACAGTAATATGGCTTTTGATTATGACAGCCACACAAGCTATTTTCTCATTGGACTGCTGCCCCAAGATGCTGCACTTCAGCAGCACTCATCTTTTCTCCATAAAATCTTTGCCTGAGGATATAATAGATCCTAAAAATGTGTGTGTTATAGAATCTATTTTTCTTTAAGTTAAAAAAAAATTAAAAAATTGAGGTTCTCCATCAAAGCAAAAACAAGGGTTTTCTCAGACTATAGCAGTAGCTGCCAGCAAAAATAAAAGAACAAGTCAATCCCAGAGACACTGATATTATTCAAAAAAGTCTTCCACTTCCAACACCTGTGGTTCACAGTGACCACTCAATCCCAGGCTCTGTTTCCTCTCAACTGTTTTTTCCTCTCAGTTATTTATGCTGATTGCATGGTGAACTGAAATTCTCCACAGTCAAATGCATATGACCAGCAATGTCACAGCACTACCTTCTCCCTTTTTAAAAATGGGAGATGTAGACACATCTGCTTTTTGAGACACGCAGCACAGTTTACTCTTGGCTTGATGAGAATAAGCGACTGAGAAACTATTCTGAAGCTCCTTCCCTTCTTAAACAACAGAAAGTGAAATTCAGAACTGTGACCGTGTGCATTTTATGGATCAGAGTCACTTCTACTGAATGGATTTATCAGTGAAATATCACTATAAAACATTTCAGAGCTTACTACAAATGACTGGCAGCAGCCAAAAAGAAAACTAGGATCTTTTCACACTTGTCTTAGAGCAACTGGAGAAAGAACAAGATATGGGAACCCAGGATCATCTAAAGGAAAGTTTTCAAGGGCTGATAGATAGTGCCATTTACAGTCTACCTAGCTAAGTCAAGGCTGAGGACTTGACCTTATGATCCAAAGCCCAATAAAGTAAAGCGTAAATTAGCCAGTAAAACAGAATTTCAGAATTGAGCACATTTCAAACATACTGCCAGCAAAAGTATTTGCAGTTCTTAGAGCTTCAAAGTATCCTCTGCCAGTGAAAGTGCGTTAGTCAGTTTTGCTCTCTGGCCATATCTATGTAAAAAGGATCTGAGCACACAACACAAAAAGATTTCAAAGCACAGATGCAGCCAGAATTAGCTGTAACATGAAGACCATCCCCATTGGTCTACCTGCTCCACTGCTGGAAGTTGCTGCCTACAACCGTAATTAGACCTCACCCATAACAGCCATAACAGTTCACAGTTCAGGATTAAGTGAGCATCTAACTCCCTTGGCAGCTTGACATGAAACGGCAGCTTGTGATCAGAAAAGCTGAGCCATGAGCACGGATTTTGCAGTGGGGAACAGTAAACTCCAGGAGAAAGTCAGAGAAAACAATGAGACAATAAGCAGCTGAGTCTCATAGGACTTTACAGTCAGACCCTTAATTTAGAATAGCTGCAAATATAAATAAGAGGTAAGTAACAGATTGGCTGTAGCAGAAAAATACATATCTGAACAGTCTCTGACTGTTTTGTCTTTGCTGATTCAGTTCTGGCCCTTGCTAGCTAGGCTGTGGAATTAGGGCACAGAATTTGTGCGTTTAGAAACATACATAAACCAAAGGCTTTTGTGAGATGACTTGCAGCTATAACTGCACTGAAAACTACTCTAATGGACAGTAATGGAGACAGGTTTTCTTCAAGGCTTAGACTACAATTGGAATCAATCCCTGAGAGCTATCGCACATTTTCCATCTTGAAGTATGACACACATTACCTAAGAAAGCCTCTTTAATTTCAGTCTTGTCTGTTCGACGGATTATTTTCACCACAAAAATGACTGCCAGTGGCGTAAGGAACGAAATTGCCTGTAAGAGATAACAAATATCATGTGTGAGAGCATCAATTCCTTTTCAGTTCAACTGATTAATAATTAGTTCCAGTTAGTTCCATTTAAACTAGAAGGCTGAATGATCTTTATCAAACTCCTGACCTTAAGCAAAGTGGGATGATTTGTCTTTGCAGCTACAGGGCAATGAATGCATTAAAATTGCAATATAACTGTGAGTTTTAATTGATTTGTAATCGCCTGGAGCTACATTTAAAGTGTCAGCTTCATAAATGAAAAAGCAACAGTCTGTAAGGTCCATAAAATTCATAGACTGATCCTTACAGATTTTGTACCTCTCTTCCACACTAAGCATTGCTCCAGAAGGCAGCCCATCTAGGCTGTGCTCTCATTAAGACCCTGTCAAACATAACAGACTCCAGCACCAACTTCCTGACATTTTAAAATGCTCTTTATTTTACTTTTTGGTTTCTTTTTAACTGCCAATGCATTAAGAAGATCAAGTCTTTATGATTCTTTTGTTTACAAGTGTCTGGATGTGGAGCAAACTGCTCAATTTTGTTCAAAACCAGAAAAACAGCACTTGAACATCTATAGGTATACTCAGTGGTTAAGCAGGACCGTATTCTTTTATTGTCAGTGCTGTAGGACAGGATTCCTCCAACAAGGAGCCTGAGGCAGCACTTGCATATCCATGCACACACTTGATTTCTACCAACAGCATCTGTGTTATCATAAACCAATTTGGACCACTGTGGATGATGCACTGTAAATTTGCAGTTATCCAAACAGCATCCTTCTTCATCCAGTGTCTATATACTTCTCTCTGACCTCCTAGAGCAGGTATTTTCTCCAGAAAGACAAATCATTTTCCCCCAAGCACATTTCCAGGGAGTTTTTCACTAGTAGCTTCCATGGAAACTTTGGTTTTATTCCCAACTGGTTCTTCCATCATCTCTTTTGTCCCAGATCTTCAACTGTAGAGGTAAAATGCAACTTGTAGGCAAGGTAATCCATTTATACTTCTTGCTGATTCCAGTCAAAATTATCCAGTTCCTTTCTGGAATCTACAAAGACCTTCACAATCACAATTGTTCTAAAAACAAATCAAGGTCTTTCAAAAGCATTTGTTCTCTTGAAGAAAAATTAAAATGGCATATTTTTTCCTTTTCTGGAAAAGGAAGATTATGCTGTCTTTAATGAGGATGAACAGTGCCTTCTTAAACACCTCCACTGAAATGAAAAACAGACAGGACAGATATGTTGTGACAAAAAGAGTGTGAAATTTCTTTTTATAAAACAGATTAATCCAATCCAGTCTTCATTTTATGCTTTTAGAATATCTGAGTAGGGAACAACATGCAAATGCACTATATTTGTTATTTTTGGTAGTGCATTGTGGACCAGATTGCCTTCACCTGAATCTGTAAAATAGGATCTAACTCAGTGAGCCATGCAGATTAACACACAGTTCAGAGTCTGCTCCCTATTTTTACACTTAGAAAGGGAGGCACCAAGTTTTGTGCAAAAAGATGCACCATTTTGTCTTAAAACTCTGTTTTGTGTACAGTGTGTGTGAGATTCAAGTTAGGATGCCAGTGCCATGCTACTGCTCCAGAAATGTTCACTTTTTCCTGTCCTCAGCAACAGTTGAATTCCTGCTTTCAGAGACAGAGTGTGAAATAAAAAAAAAGGTTAAAGCAAAACCTAGAATTATTAGCTTAATTCTAAAAAGTAAAGATTGCCACCAGGAAAGAAAAGAAGAAAGATATCTGGATTTCATTGTTGAAGAACAGGTAGAAATATAACCAGGCTGGCAGGCTGATAGCGGCGGCTTAATGGAGTTAGGAATCTTTTGAACAAGCAGGAGCAGCAGAAAATACCAACAAAGAATATAATTCAAGTGGCAGCTTGTTCCAAACCCCTTGACAATCAATCTTCAGAAATCTGGTAAAACTGCAGATTTCCTCATATTTCCCAAACATATGGATTTTTGAGAGAGATGAAGAACTATTGATGTTTGCAGTGCATCGCTGTTCCTTACACAAAAGCATCAGCTGGAAGGTGGTTTTTATTCTGCAGCAAAACGCACATATAAAGAAAGTTTGGCTTGCTAAAGGCTCCTTTTTATTTATTTTACAAAGAGATTCTGTATGGCTCATATCCATAACAGATTTGGCAGCAGCCTAATGAGCAATACTCTCCTCAGATGCACCGCACTGATGTTTTCTTTTCCAGCAGCAAAATATTCCAACATTGCCTTGCTTTTGTGAAATATGGACAAAATCTCTCCTTCATTATTCATCCTGGCAAGCCAGAAATATGCTAAATTTACAGGGACTCCCACATGCTTCCACGTATTCAAGAGAAGTTGACAGCACCTTACACTTTCCAAGACAAAGAATAGATACTGATAGACAGAACAAGGTTCAGGTATTTCCAGTCCTTCCAGTTTCCTTGCTAGTCATGCAGAGTCAGCTTTGTCTGATTTGGATCTGAGTTTGGAGTATTCACAACGTTTCTCTTGAATTCAAATGTCTCAAAATGTAAAATAATCCAGCAATTCTTGAAGTTTTAGACATTGCTTTCTGGTTAAGCCATAGTCATATGTTTCAATATCAGAGCACGACACTAATGGTGAAAAATTTGTTATGTAACAAAAGCTTGTGATTAATGCTAGATTTTGGACCTATGGAATGTTGGAATTTATTTTTTTTTTAATTAAAGTTTATTCATTTAATTAACTTTGCCACTGCAGCAAACATCTGCACAATGAGTTACTGTTGGTGACCTGAACTTGCAGCAAACATCTGCACAATGAGTTACTGTTGAAACATCTGCACAATGAGTTACAGTTGGTGACCTGAACTCTTCAGTTATAAACAAAGAACAGAGAAGCCATGTAGCAAGGTAATGCTCAACACAGGGGAAAATGGTAGAAACAAACTCAGAGTCTTTCCAAGAACAACAATTTAATATTTGGTTTTGTGGGTTGTTTTCACACGGCTGTCTTCCATTTCAGGAGTAACATATATGCTTACCCATCCAGGCTGAAAAAGTCCTTAATAGAACTGCTTCTTCATGCAACATAAATAATATGTTGGTGAATTTAAAACCAGGCCTTCAGCCTCAGTATTAGAAGGCTGGGATATATTATCACCTCATAAATAGGAAACACCTTCAAGTCATTCCTTAATCAAAAAGTTTCCATAACTGAAGGCCTGTGCCTTTAAAAAAAAAGTTCCTTAGCTGATTTGCATTTATTCGAATTCAAGCCTTGATCTGAAAACTACAATTCTGGCTTCACTGAAGACACAAGATACTAGGATTGGACATCATCTGCCACACCCATTCCTGCAAAAAATCACTTTGAGTGATGAAGCTTTTGCAAAGACTGACCTACTTGTTTGAATAGCCTGAAGCATACCCATAATTTCTTAGCATTTCTGTAGTGGTCTACCTTACTGCACTCATATACCTGGATTATTACTACTGTTAATCATTGCTAGCAAAGGTTATCAAACTCATTAATCCTGATAACCAGACAAACCATCAAAATCAGTCGGCATGTCAAGATGAGCTGTGCTGGGGAGAGCCAGAAGAACGGTGACAGCAGCATTGTGATAGATTTAGGACACTTGTTGGCAGAAGCTATAACAAAGGGTTTGGCTACATGGGGGGGGGTGGGGAGGAATTATTTGGAGGCAAACCTCTTAGTGTCTAACACACCTAAAACAAATCAGATTTCAAAATTTAAGCCCTTCACCCAATAAGGCCATGGCAAGGTTTTGTCAGGTCACCCAAACAGCTAATTCAAAAAGCTCTTCTAATCACTTCTCCAGCATCCCTCTAAGTTAGCACTAGCTTAAATCTTAAACTGCAAAATCAACATTCATAAATTCAGTCACCTGGTAACACCGCTTTTCACAAACTCCCTACAATTTCACACATTTTGCCATTTTGGACATCCCTGGTTTGGAAAACAATTATAGGAACATCCTGTACTTCCAAAAGATTTCCTACTTCTTCTCAAATGAAAGTGTACTTAGATTTCAGTTATCAAATGATCAGTAAACCTTTTGTACTTACAAACATAAGACGCGTTGGTATGTTGTCTGATTGCACCAAAGGATTTTTATACAGCCAGATCTCTTCTGGTTGGATAACCCGCTGGAATGGATCCAAAAATTCTGTAAAACTGAAAATAACAGGTAAAGATACAATTTTATATGATGATGAAAAAACCCTGAAGAAGAGTCCTGCTGATTCAAAACTTTCCCAGGTTAACTATGGCATAGCATGCATTAATTATCCTTAAAATCCACTGCTATCCTACCTTGCTGTAAAACAACCTTCATAAATACACACTTAGGACAATAATCTTTAGAACTCAATATTCTACAAGTTTATAAAAGTTACATCAACTTTACCATAGAGAATAAATTTTCATTTTGGTTTTCGTGGGAAAATTGTGCACAGAATACTGTGGGATTAGGGGGGAAAAAAATGAAAAAAATAAAAAATCCTATAACAGATGTGTTACAGTGAAGAAATTATATACCAGATATCAAATACAAAAGATGTCTTTCACATGTCAAGATCCAGACTTTGAATTATGGCAGTTGTATTGGCAGGATGAAAAAGCAGAGAGAAAACCAGCCTCAACAATTCCTTCTGCTGTTAGAAAGAACAGATAACTCTAGAGATTATCTCCAAAAGAGTCTGACTCCTAAAACAGGATGGGCTCATAGAAGCACATTTTTCTCTTCTTTCAGATTGACATATTTTGATTTGGCTGCTAAGGTTAAGAAGAATCCAGCTTTACCAGAAATGCCTCATTCTGCCAAAACTGACTGTTCTAATTTCATCCTCATGTCATTTAGTCCTTTAAAAAACACATACAAAATAAAGTAACAAGCCAACCAAAAAAAAAAATCCCCACTGTTTTCTAATCATGTTATTTTGAAGCAAAGAGCATGAAAGTAGAATGTTGAAGTTATATTGTTATATAGAAAGTAAATTATTTGTGTGGGTATCTTTTGTCCAGCACTGAAAGAAGAAGCAGGAATTGTGATCTTTGGCTGTACCAAGATGTTTCAAAAGCCTTTTAGGACAGCATAAACTGTCTCTCATCATTTAAACCTTACTCTTTTTTCCACAAAATCTTTCACTGTCCTTTACCTCTTCGTAGCTTTGAAGTCCTGTCAGACTTCCTGGGAAGTTTTGCCTTTGCTTTACATGACTCACTTCAAGGCTAGTTTACTAGGACTGAAAGAATGGCTGCTGAGAGATGACACTGGGACCAGTTTTCTGAAGATTGGTCTTACCTAATAAGACAATGGAGCCAGAACACAGAGCCATAGTGACCCAAAGCTATTTTTATACTTTATATTTCTCAAAGACAAGGGCTTTAAACCCTCCAAAACCAGGTTTTACACAAGTAACAGCTACAACAATCGACTTTGTAAATACAAAAAGCTCAAAGCTCTGTAATGCATAGTAAAATTAAAACATGCATATAAAACTCCTCCCTGTGAAGATGAGTCTTCATATCTAGCCAGGTCAGCAATTTCCTAAACAACTGCAAGCCTTATCCAGTCTTCTGGGTCTTTGGAAATCCTTCTTTTTATTCCTTCTGAGGATGGACCAGGATGTTCTTTGTTTTCTCACTGTAGTCTGCAATCTCTGCAGTAGCTACAGTCTCCTGCAGACACTACTACTGACCCTCTTTACCTGAGCACACTCAGACTCTCACCAGAGGGAAAGTACGAAACAAAACCTGAGGACCAAAGTCACAGTCTTGTCACTTCCACCAATAGTTATGTTTCCTCTACTGACCTACATGGACAACCAGATTCTTCTGGAAATTCAAGAGGTCTGGCACTGCAGGAATATTTACTACTATACTCAACATATTCAAATCAGTCTGAAGAAGAGTCTGACCCTGCTCTCCAAGGAAGGTGCAAGATGAATTTCAAAAGAGTCAAAACACTTTGTTTCAGTGTTTCCAAAAATGAAAACTTAGATCTTTTTAAAGTTTAAAAAACAATAGTTTGAGCAAGACATGAAAGATGGAAACATTTTTAAAGAAAGCCATTTCCAGGAAATAACCCACCTCATATTTGAACAATTAACCTTACAGTATTTTGACTGGAAAAATAAAGGTTGATTTCTAGACGATGTAAACAACTTTGTTTCCAAATTTCAACTGAGAGTCCTAAAGCATATCTTCAAAGACTGAAAATAAATGTTATATGGACAGCAGCTAGAAGCAATTAACTGCTGGTTGAAAGAGTTCAGTCGACAGGTAAAGTCACAGGCCTGGGTATGACATCCAACATGTGTCACTTGGGAGAGCTGAACAGCAAAGTTCACAGCTATACCATCCAGGACTTAACATTTGTTATGAAGATGTACACAGAATCCATAGCCAGAACACTTCACCACTGTCCCCTAGATATAAATAAAGAGATAAGCATATGCATGGCCAAGTATAAAAGAAGTTGAAGAAGTCAGCTGAACTTCAATGACTTCATTTTTCATCCAGTCACATCTTTTCTGTCATCTTTTCTGACACCATCCCTCAGGTATCTGCTGGTCTGATTGTTTTGAGGCAGTTCTCAAAGCTCTGGGGCTGATGGATACACCAAGGAATGCCTTGAAGCAGAGACTTTCTTTGACATATCTAGGCCTTGAAGCATTTCTACTAACTGCAAAAAGCAAACAATACACAAACATTTATGCTTCAAGGTGGTCACAGTATATCTTTGCACCAGTGCACTTTTGGAAAACGTGTCACATCAGAGCAGAGAGTTAATTAGTTTGACAGGAAGACACTTGACATTATGAGCAAATGCCAACAGAGTAAAAGGTTTGGGGCTCTTCTTGTTCTTTTGCTTCCAGTCTCCTTGCAATGTAAAAAAAAACCCCTAAGATTAAAGTATAGTTGCTCAAACTGAGAAACTAAACAAAACTGAAATTTATAGTTGTCACAAGAATCATACTATGATTTATCATCAGATTTCATTCCTTTAAGAGCAATGTAACATGAGATGAAACTATAATAAACAACAAATAGACTCTGATTCCAACTGAGGACTGATGTTCTGATCAGTCTATACTCACCATCTTTGTACCCTTCTAAAGAAAGATTCATTTCAACAATTCTATCAATGACAGTAATTATTCTAATTGTTTAATAACAGCAGTTTTGCATCCACTACATATTTAATGTGATTATTTATCAATTTCTTCCTCTGATTTGTGTTCTGAATGCCTTCCAAGAACAGAGTTCAAATATGCTGAGACATAATGGAAAAAGAAACAACAAAATTGCTGAAACCAGTTAAAATAATTTCAAAATCACTACTGAAGGAGGGAAAAAAGATACATGCAGAAGGCAGCAGATCTTATCTGTGTGATGATACAGAAATGCAAAGTAAACAGTTAAAGAAAAGGGACTATATAAAAAGAAATAACTTTTTTCCATCTTCAGAAAGAGCTCAGCTGCTAATTAAATTTTTATGCCAAGACTCATAAAAGAACAATTCTCTTCTTTTTTTGAAGCACCACCAATGTGTGACTGGATACGAGATTTCACTAGCTTGAAGGCAATTCCCTTTGTACTCTATTAAACAATCATGAGGACATACTGGTTTCTAAGCTGCCTGACACTTAGTGATTTATGTTCCTCCATCCTAACCAAAAGTGCAGTCTATTGCTATTCATAAGCCAGCACAAGCCTGTTTAAATGACTTGATGTTATTAGAAATAAATGTAGTCCTTGAATAAAGAAAACTGGTTTCTAGACGTTTTCTATTACAGTTGAAAATACAACCTCAATCATGTAACATCCCCTGGTAGCAGGTGGGCAGCTTAGGAAGCTTACTTTGTATTAGTACATGAAATTTTGGCATTAGCTTTTTAGCCTTATGTTTTCTTGCATGCTGACATATTCATCCAATGTTTTTAACAGTTTAACAAGCAAGATTTTGAACATTGATAATGTATAGTTAAAGCATAAAAGGACAAATAATGCTTTTCCAGGAAACCATTTGCTGGTAGTGAACAAATCAAACATTGCACAAATATCCTCAGAGTCTTTGACCTGTGCTTCCACCATGGATTTAATCTCCCATAAGTAACAACAGGGTCTTGTTTAGCACCTCATCTTAATGTCTCAAAGGCTACTTACAGCAGCTACCAGTCCATGGCATTCAGCAGCATGAAATCAAGAAGCAATGACATGGAAAGAGCAGTAAGCAGTACTTGCATTGGCAAAGCTGGTAAGGGAGAAACCTTTAAGTGTTACAGTGGAAAAGTACATTCCCAATCTAGCAACAGGAATAGATAGATGGGCCAAACAATTGGATTGTATGGTTGTGTCCTGTCAGAGCAAGACAGAAGCTACCAGCAAGAAAGTCATGGATGCCAGTCACCTTAGAAGCACTTACTGGTGTCTCTGGGACTGCCACTGCCCAACAGCTCCATTTTCAGAGGAACAGTATGAAACCACACAGGGGCTTTGGTCCTGGCAATCCTGGGGACGTAAATAACTGCTTCATCAGAAGAGTTGATAGCACATTAGAGGGTTAGAGATTGCCTCATGGTTTTGAGCACCAACTAAATGATGTACAAGGGCGGTTGGGGAGGTGTTTGAGGGGAGGAGACGGGGGGAGTGGGTTTTTTTGCCTTTTATCTGGTCTCTTGCAGAAAAGGTTTGTCCCATGGAAAAAGTGACAGTAACTAAGAGAGGATGGAGAAGTACCTACAACATGACAAAGCACTGGAATAGAATGAACATGACCTTGTGATTGTAACAGTCTTTCACACTAGATACCTAATGACTAACCTCTTTTCCAAGCTTTCTCTGTTGACAAGCAGATCTGATCATAAAACAGCTCAGCATGCAGTTCCTCATTGAAGCAAGCAATAAAGAGATAGCAGATATTCACAAAACTCTTATAAATCACCTCTGAGGGCTTGCTGGAAAAAAAAGTTTGGCTCTGACAATCATTCCTTGACTGCAGATCTATAAGCAAACCCACTGCTGCCTCTCCCACAGCAACACGTTAGCTGTGAGTGTGCTACTGGAACTCGATGGTGCACCTTTTTACATGGATATTTCCTTGAGTATTCCCCAAACTAGGTCTCAAATCTAGTAGTAAAAGCTTTTATCGTGTACCTGCCACGTTAAAT